GGACAGCACACAGCGCCACGGCGCTGCACTGTAGCGCCATGGCACCATGTCTGGGCGCTGCTACTGCGACATTTTGCTGCTGCAGCACCGTGGCACTGCCTTTAGGCGTCGAGGCGCTGTCCCGGGTGTTTTTTGACGAGTTTCCGTGGTTTTGGTTCGCTGTTTGAGGGCGGTTGCAGTCGTTTTCTCTTTTTTGTATTATTTTGCTTTCTTAGGGTGCTAAAAACCGTTCCAACTTTGCTATTTAATTATTTTATGCATTATGAATGTATATTTTAATTAAAATCATATTGCATATTGTACGCCATATAGTTTTAAAATCCCACCATAGGTTACATGCATAATATGTATGTTTGATATATAGTATGTATGTATGGTCATGCATCATATAGTTATAAATGTTATAATGTATGAATGCATGTTATTATTTTCATAATTAATATAAGTGTTGTATTAATTAGATGAAAATAAAGTTGCATTGAGCATGACATTACTTTGGTTAATATAATTGTTATATTAATGTATGCTTACAATGCATGATTATAGTTTTAATTTCTTAAATTTTATAAGAGTTATAAAATGTGATAGAAAGAAATTAAAATCTATAATAAAGAATTGCATGCAAACATAGGGTCTAAGTTAATTAATTTTAAAGGGGTTTAAAATTAATTAGGCCTTAGGTTATATCTTCTAATATGATTAGGGGATAGTCTTTTATTTTATTTTAACTAGGTTTAAAATGAAATGATAAAAGACTAAATATAAAATATTGCCTATAAGGGAACCCTGTCTAAGGAAGGTTCTCTCTAGGTTGAGGTATTTAAGCTGACCGTAAGGGAACACCTCTACCTGGGAACCGACCTAGGGGTTGAATTAGTCAATATTTTATATACATGCAATAATGTCGTTGGTTTATTAAAGTGCTTAATGAACAAAAAAATATTGTACAACTACCAATATAAGAGTTATATTGGGCCGACTAAAATTTCACTTAGTTAATTTCATTTAGTCGGAATTTATCTAAGTAAGATACCTTAGTCTTAGAATACTAAGTGGGAGCAAAAGAGAATATGTAATATACTGCGTATATATTTGATATACAAAGTATATACAACATACTTTTCTCTCTTTCACATGTTCTCTTTTATATTCACACTGTGAGTTCCATGCTCGGCCTCATGTCGCCCTAGCCGCGGCCTCCCTACGGAAGGTGTTTGCATGGTTCAATATCGAGGTGAATGGAGATAGTATTCATAGTAAGTGGGAGAAGGACGTGTGACAACACATCCTGCGGTCTCCGCCATTGATTTGCACCGTGAGGTTTCATATATGACCTGCGTGTCGTCCTGGAGCGACCATCCCTATGGAGGGTTCATTATATGGAATCAAAACTAAGGCAAACTCCATAAATGGATAAGGGTCTCTTAGATTTTGCTCCAATATTTTCCTTCCCTACGGCGGGATTATTGTGGTGGATCTCTGAGGTCCGAAAATGACGGGTCACAGTTACGGGGAGTTGTTAAGTTAGTTAGCAATTTCCTGACCAAATAAACGATTACTTAAGTTTATAGAAATAAGAGTTATTCTGGTGTAAAATTTAGTTGAGAACGTCTCAATTCAGTGAAGGAGTACCTGTCGGTCCTATGGTAGTTGTTGCTCTAAATCACTGAAGCGTCGTTGCAAAACAATTTTGTTAGGGTGCTTAATTATTTTTGCTAAAATTTGATTGGGTTTAAAGGCTAATGCATGAAACTGATATAGGTTGTTTTTACTTTCAGCATGTCTAGTTCCATTATTGCACTCCTAGCGGTTCAAAAACTTAACGACGAGAATTACAAACAATGGAAATCAAATCTAAACACTATTCTCGTGATAGATGATCTTAAGTTCGTCTTGCAAGAGGATTGTCCTCAAGCTCCTACACCTTACGCCACTGTGGCGGTGCGCAACGCCTATGACAGGTGGATCAAGGCCAATGACAAGGCCAAGGTCTACATCCTGACGAGCATATCTGATGTGCTTGCCAAGAAGCACAAGGACACGGTCACCGATAAGGAGATCATGGACTCGTTGCAGAGTATTTTTGGACAACCGTCCTCACAGGCTCGACATGAAGCCCTTAAGTTCGTTTACAACTCCCGCATGAAGGAGGGTTCCTCAGTGCGAGAACACGTTCTCAACCTGATAGTCCAATTCAATGTGGCTGAATCGAACTGGGCCGTCATAGACCAGCAGAGTCAGGTCAGCTTCATTTTGGAATCTCTTCTGAATAGTTTCCTGCCATTTCGCAGCAATGCAGTTATGAATAAGCTGGAGTACACTCTTACCATGCTCTTGAACGAGCTGCAGACCTACTAGTCTTTTATGAAAAGTGAGGGACAAGAAGGGGAGGCAAACGTTGCCACCTCAAAAAGGTTCAACCGAGGTTCATCCTCTGGACCCAAGTCTGCGCCCTCTTCTTCTGGAAGTAAGACTTTTAAGAAGAAGAAGGCTACTGGTAAGAGGTCTAAACCTGACTCCGCTACTGCCGCTGCCAAGAAAGGCAAGGCCAA